TGGTAGAGTAGTACTCCAGGGTTTAATCCCAAGTAGCTAAAAAACAAACAAACAAACAACAACAACAACAAAAAAAAAACAGTAAAAGGAAAAGAATGTAAAATAGTATAGTCATGTTGGAAAACAGTTTGGTAGTTTCTTACAAAGCTAAACATGTACCTACCATATGGTCCAGAAATTGGACTCTCAAGCATTATCCCAGAAAAATGAACGCTTACATATACACAAACACCTAGACATAAACATTCTTATCAACTTGAGTCATAATAACCCCAAATTGAAATAACCTAGATGTCCTTTGATGAATGGTTAAATAAATTCTGGTATGCCCATACCACAGTAACAATTCAGTAACAAAAGATGGACTAGAGACAAACATTACAACTTGGATTATAATTTCAAAAGATCACATACTATATTACTTCATTTATATAACATTCTTGAAATAGCACAGTTACAGAGACAGAGACAGAAGTGTGGTTCCCAGGGATGAGGGGAGGCACAGTGTCAAGGATGGAGAGGTAAGAGAAGTGTGCATAGCCCTGAAAGGTATCAGAAGGATTCTTGTGGTGATGAGGTCTGTGTCTTGATTGTGGCAATAGTTACACAAATCCACATACATAACACTGTAGAGAACAAGGCACACATGCAAATAAGTGAATTCTGAGCTCACTGATAATCTCTGTATATAAGTTCTGTATATTGTACCAATTTCCTGGTGTGGTGTGTACTATAGTTACCATTGAAGGAAACTTGAAGCCTACATAAGATTGTTCTGTATTTCTTAAAATACTTTATTCTGATATAAGGAGCGAGGTTATGACAGCCTTAACCCAATCAGCGAATTAATCCCCTCATGGGGATTAACTGAGTGGTAACTGAATGCAGGTAGGGTAGGACTGGAGAAGGTGGGCTTTGGGTGTATACCTTTGTGGTATATATTTTGAATCTGGTGAGTAGAGTCTCTCTCTTTGCTTACTGATCATCATGTGAGCTGCTTCCCTCTGCCACACTCTTCTACCGTGATGTTCTGCCTTACCTCTGGACCCAAGGAATAGAGCCATCTGTCTATAGACTGAAAACTTGGAAGCCATGAGCCCCCAAATAAACTCTTCCTTCTCTAAAATTGTTCTTGTCAGATCTTTAGTCACAGCAATGAAAAAGCTAACTAAAGCTGGGTGTATCTCTGTAATCCCAGCAGCTAGGGAGGCTGAGATGGGAGGATCAAGAGTTCAAAGCCAGCCTCAGAAACAGCAAGGTGCTAAGCAATGCAGTGAGACCCTATCTCTAAATAAAATACAAAACAGGGCTGGGGATGTAGCTCAGTGATTGAGTGCCTCTGAGTTTAATCCTAGTACCACCTCCACACACACACACAAAAAAAGATGACTAAAACTGTCACATACCATACAATTCACCCATTTAAAGTATATGATTCAATGTATTTTATTCATGAAGTTGTACTGCTATAACCAGTCAATTTTAGAACATTCTTGTCATATCAAAATAAACCATGTATGTGTCAAGGATTTGGGCCTAGAACAAATCAAGAACTCTCAAAAACTCGGTGTCACTCAACTACTGAGCCACATCCTCAGCCCTATTTTTTGTATTTTATTTAGAGACAGGGTCTCACTGAGTTGCTTAGCACCTTGTCTACTAACAGTAGACAAGTTAGGGCCCTGTAGTTATCAGTGCTACCCTGTACTACCCTATAGGTATCAATCTCCGATTCTTTGCACCCTGCCACACCACACCCCTAAGCAAACATTAATTAACCTAGCTCTATATAGATTTGCCTATTATGAACATTTCACATAAATGGAATAATATAGTGGGGGGTCTTTTGTGACTAGTGTCTTCCACTTAGCATAACATTTACAAAATTTATCCATGTTGCAGCATGTATCAGTACTTCATCCTTTTTTATGGCTCCAAAATAGTGAATTGTATGGTTATACCATAAATCGCTTATCCACTCATCAGCAATGGGCATTGGGTTTCTGTAGTTTAGCTAAAGACTGCTGTAAATATACATGTACATGATTTTGTGTGCACATGTGCTTTTAGTTCTCTTTGGGTGTATCTGCCTAAAAGTAGAATTGCTGGGTCATAAGGCATTTCTATGTTTAATCAATCATCACCCTTTTCACAGTGGCTGCTCCATCCTGCTTTCCTACCAGCATCATATGTGGGTTCCAATTTCTTCATATTCTCACCAATGCTCATCATTACCTGACATTTTGATTCTGTACCATTAACTTCCTATGTATTTATACTTATTTCAAAATAAAAAGTTTAAAAAAGATTCACCTTATCTTGTTATAACCATAGCAACTAGCTATAATTCACTTTCCAAGGTTATTATTTTGCTCTTTCATTTTTATATCTTTCTGCATTTCTCAGGTCTTCCAGAACAATGTTAACGGGGGATGAGACGACAAGGCAAATCTGTGTGACCCTAATTGTTAGATTTCCCCCTCTAGCCTTTCTCTGTTAAGCATGATACTGATGATAGCTTTGAAACTGATACTCTATTATGTTAAACAGACATACTTACATTCCAGAAATTTAAAGAAATCTTTCTAAGGAGATGTTGAATTTCATCAAAAACCTTAGTAGCTTTACATAAAAATCATATGATATCATTTGCTGATTTGATTTTCAAGATTCATTCATTCATGATATTGAATCATTCCTGCAAATTATGGTCAAGTAAATTGGATTTATTAGAAACAATTATGAAATAAAGTGACATCCTAAATGGGATCATCAAGCAAACAATTAAAGTAAGCAATGTGCTTTTGACATTGTACCAAATGACAAAAATAAAATTAATGAAAATATACCTGTTAATTTTAATATGTATATAAAGGTTGTAAGTGCTACCAACTTCATTCTCTCTCTTCAAAGAGATGTAATTTAAAGAAAAAGAGGAGAAAAAGGAAGAAAGGAAGGGAAGGAAGGAATTTGTTTTTTCTTCAATTTGCTGTTCAATGCTCTTCTATTCACAATGGTTTTCTGTGATTTATTATCCTACATTTATTGACCTATATGAAGAGGCATAATCTTTTACACATCACAGACACTGACTCTGTATAAACTCTTTTGTTATTTATTTATTTGTTTGGTACTTGGAATTGAACTCCATGTCACTCAACCACTGAGCCACATCCTCAGCCCAATTTTTGGTATTTTATTTAGAGACAGGGTCTTGCTGAGTTGCTTAGCACCTTGCTTTTGCTGAGGCTGGTTTTTAACTCATGATCCTCCAGCCTCAGCCTCCTGAGCCACTGGGAAAAACTGATGTTATTTAAGAAGATGTGAATACCAAATATGAATTTCATACTTGAAGAAACACAGAAAAACTTAAGAAGATAGGTGAAAATCAGTGCCATTATCAATAGTGGATTGCTGAAAACCATTTAAACCCTGGGAGGTGCTGGAACTCATTGTTCACTGGCTCCTTTCACAACACTGAATGGACAGCCCAGCTCCTAAAATGAGCAGATCTTCTCTCCTAGAGTCATGTACAATTGGTTGCTGGGATGGAGGAGGCAAGTGACTCTCTCTTGGGCAGGATCATCCCAGCTAAAGCAGCATAGCTAGGGGTCACAATGGTCCGTGAATCAGAGACTACAGTTCAAGACCTGGCTCCTTTGGTTACTTGTCTTATGGCCCTGGGAAGTAACTGCATCCCTCTGCGTCTTTATTTTCTTGCTTATAAACAGAAGGTAATAGTAGTCATTCTTCCTAACAGATTTGAATGAGATATGTCTGGCATATAACCGTTTTTCTAAACATTATTATTAGCATTGGTAAATGGAATTGTTGTTACCTAGATGGCACCAGTACCATTCAAAAATTTATTCATATTTTAAAACTCCTATTAAATATCAAAGTTTCCATCTCTAAATTATTTTTCTTAACAATAGTAAAGGTGGTTGACACAGGCTTCTTCATTGGCAAGAGCCCCAAGTGTTTTCTGGTGTATAATGGAGCAGGTTTGGTTGGTGTAACTACCTGGCATGAAACATACACCTCTCCAAAGTAAAATATCTTGATTCTTCCTTGCCCTGGGGGAACAGCTTACCCCACAGTAAGGGGTGAAGTCAAGAGAAGCTCCTAGAGAATATCAGAATATCCTTCCTTTGCAGTTCTCCTTAGCTATGGGGAAGGAACCTTCTTCCTTCACTCATCCTGTCTCTAGCCTCCCCACTTCAGTTCCTGAAAGCAGCTGCAACACACTCAATTCCATCCTTATTTGCCTTAAGCAACAAAAGAAGCCTCACAACAAACAGAGCTTCCTCCAGGGCCAAGGGCAAGGGGCAGAAAGACCTAGAGTCACCGTAAAACAAGAGAACAGTAAAACCTACTAGTCAGGATGCAGACATTGAGTAGCTGAGGTCAGGAAGAGCAAAAGAGGAAGGATGATAGTGGGGGATTTGTCAATCAATCTAAGGAGACATCTATTGAGGGACTTCCCAGCACGTACATGGGTTGCATTTCAAAGAAATGTGCTTTGTTGTAATAAAAAGACAAATGATTTCCATAAAAACAGATTTGAAGGCCACCAAAATTCCACGACCTGTCTTAGATGTACAAATTAAGTACTATATATGACATGAATTCAGTATTGTCTGCAGTGGTCAACAATTTTCACTCAGTCCAGAGGACTTTGGATGGTTATGAGTAAGATGTTCTCAGGGGGAAAGAACAATCGATAGTGAGCTCACTCCTTCTTGATTTTCCAGTAGCCATAGTGATCCCATTCAAGGCACAGCTGTCCAGAGGCCATGCAGGCAGCCAGGCTCGCTCACCAGCCTGGCCATTCACACCCTTCACAATTGTGCTTCAGTTAAACTCAGACCACACTGGCCAAAGGTTGCATCCCCAAATGCCAGGGATCTAGGTGTGACAAACCACACTTAGCAGCAAACACTTTAACTAAAGAAAACCAAAGGCATGGGTAAACACCCTCCCAACTCTGCCCAACTCACCTTCACTAGGAAGAAAGATACACCGTATGTCCGGAGGGACCGGGCTAGCTTTACATACTTGACCTTGGCTTCTATTTCACTCATCTCTCCACAGTTCTTATGCTCCTGCAAAAGGGACAGTATAAAGAAACCCATTACTATAGCTCTGGTAGCAGGTGGACTAGTGAGAGGTGATTACTACAGGTGGGGTACACAGGGGTTCTGAATGGTAAGTGATGCTTGTATCCGAATCCCTCCATAACATAGCTATCTGATGAACAAGGAGAAGAGCACAGAGAGTTCAATTTGGGGCTTTTAAACTAGAGCTTGAACCAAATAGCCTACATGTTTCGCACTGAATCCAATAATTTGTACCTGTGTACAGCATGGCAGGAACAGATCCATAATTATAATCAAATTCTCAAAGGACTCCATGTCTTAAGTGTTCAGGTCCCACACTTTAAATGATAGCTAGAAAGATGTTCTTCTAAGGACAATGTCAATTTAAATCTATATCTTTCCAGAGAGGACCATATATATATATATATATATATATATATATATATATATATATATACATGATAGTGCTTGGAAACAATACCAGGTGAAATAATGTTTTATACACATGAGATTTATATTTTAACTTTTATTTCTTTTTCCAGATCAAAGAAGACTTTGAAATCTTAGATTCAAAAAGGTGTTCCACGATCAAGTTGGTGACAAGACTTTTTTTAGTGTTGCCTGGAATGGATTTTAAAAGGCATTAGTTCTCAAATTCTAGCTTCAAGAAAACAAATCTTAGGACAAAAGAGCTATTGGTAGCTTCTCCCTCAGTGCAGTTTAATAGCCTATCACCTTGTTTTAATGCCACCAGTGTAAAGAATTTCAAAATAAACGTATGCACATTATTCTCAGAAGGCTAAGTAACCTTTACCAAGAAACTATGGATTAAGACAATAAATCTGTCCAAAGTAGAACTGTCGACTTCTTTACTCGAGTTACCAATCACTTATATAAGAACACATGCAAAGCATACAAAACTATCATGTGCAGAGGCCCCTTATGCTAATGAATGAGGTTGGAGATTGAGGAGAATAATAAATTGCTGTACATTTCCAATACCTGAAATATTCTCTTTTCAGCTCCTCTCTGCTTGATGTACTCTTTGGGCAGGAATTCTTTTAAACTGAAAGAAATTTGAAAAGGTAAAACATTTATCATGTTCTGTGATAAGTAGCAAAGAAAATAGACTGATAATAAAACGCACAGTTAAGTCACTAAATCTCCCAATACTTCATGGTACAATTGATAACAGGCTGCAATACCCTACAACACACTTAAATAAGGACATGGTAAAACCAGACTGATAATAGAGGGTCAAACTAACATATTAAAGGAAAAAATTCTAGGATATACTGTAAAGTCAAAGATAAAGGATAAGAATATACAGTATGCTACCCTTTCTAAGAAGAAAAAAAATATTTCTTATTTAAAAATACTTTTTATATTGTCTATTTATTTTAAAATGTAATAGAAGAATAAACCTAGCACTAATGAAAGTGGTTCTGATAAGAAGAAGGGGAACACAAGGAGAAAGGGCAAAGATTAGAGTAGGTTCCTCTGAATATTCCTTGTATATTAAAGATTTTTACTTTGAAATCACATACAGTTGCACAAAAGCAACATCAAAAAATCTAAGGCAAACATAAATGTACTTAACAGTGTACCATATTGACACTGTTTCTACAAAGAAAAATATTTCAAGTAACTTTAAAGAATAGTCTTTTGACTATATATCCCTAGAGGAATATATCTTAAAAGTGAAATGAACCATAGAAGACATGTAAGTAAAAATATTGATATTTTAAAATCAACACCTTTCTCTCCCCTCCTCTCTGCACACATTATATGAAATCAATGTAGTAGATTATATATAAGCAAGATGATTCATATAATTAGGATAAAGTAAATGAGTAATTATGTTTATTGTTAGAAGTCAAGATTTTCAGCATAAAATAGATAAAAACACTTCACTAAAAACTTTGCAATCTTTTCTCGGAATTAAAAATACTCGCCTGAGGAACCAGTTCATTTTTCTTTTTATGAGAAACATATTTTCTAGCTGTGATGTGGAAAAGGCCAGAAGCAAGCACAACTTGATAAGCCCCCCAGTGCCTTGAGTAGGTGGTCTTTAAACACTATTTCCACTAAAAGGAACCAGTGAGTTCTGGAGAAATGATTCAGTCTAGGCCTGGGGTAGACAACGTACTCAATGCTCCCAAGACTTCTTAGGTCTTAGATCAAGAAAGCTGTCAAGATGACACCAGAGTCAGTTCAAGGAACACCCATTGTCCAAAAGGAGATGATTTTTAAGACTTTATACAAAAAAAGACAGGCTAACAAAATGAACCCATCATAATCAACTTATGGCCAATCATGACTCTTCTATGTCCCCCTTCCACAGCCCTGCCATGGATTATTCTAAAGCAAATCCCAGACATCGTATAATTAATTTCAGATGAAGGGACAATTTTAGCATCAAAAAAATTTAATTACTATAATAATTAAAACATAGATATATAAAATCCATAATTGTAAAAAAAATCATTTTTCACTTTAGGGGGTTGTTGGGGTATCAATTTATACTGAAAACTGATAAAGGGAAAGAAACAAACATTATGTTAACATTTTTATCTGTGGATGATGGAAAGATTCAATAAATATAGAAGGAATGATAGAAGTCCCAAATCAGCAATTTAAAACTCTTAGGAATATAATCTATAGATCAAATCAAACATCAAGGGCTCCTAAAATGAATCAATGACAAACTGATAGGGAATTTTGTAGTAGATAGATTAGTCTGATAACATCTAAACCCAATGGTTAATTTTAATATTACTAAAAGTAGGATAACCAGACAACAGATGCCTCCGAACTGATGCAGCAGGAAACATACAGCACTACCAAGAATTATTCCTGACAATGAGGAATACGTGCACACACAACAACCAGAATTTAGGTGAGTTCCTGGATCTGAATATGAGTTTATAGAAAGGGGAACAGAAGAATATGTAGTGACACCATCAGGATACAATCAACCACAGCGAAGCATGAGGAATTCTATAAAAATACCCAGGCTCCTCCTAAATGGTTTGGTGGTGGTGGTAAAAGAGAGGACACAGAAACATATTAAAAGGGATTTAACTAATGTGTTTCCTACAAAGCTACAGTAACAGGGACTGTGCAGTACTGATGTAATAGACACACAGTCCAGTGAGACAGAATTGAAAGAGATTAACACACAACTTTTATGGTCAATTGATTTTCAACGAGGATTACAAGACAATTTAGTAAGTAAAGTTTTTTGTTCATTTCAAACAAATGGTGCTAAGACAACAAGACTTCTACACACACAAGAAAGAATTTGGACACCCATCTCACATCATGCACTAAAACCAACTAAATGCCATCCATTTCCCAGCAAATGCCAAAAAACAAATGCCAAATGTCTTCTCTTATATAAGGAGGGTGACTCAAAATGGGGTAGGGAGGAAGAGCATGGGAAGAAGATTATCTCTAGATAGGGAAGAGAGGTGGGAGGGAAAGGGAGAGAGAAGGGGAATTGCATGGAAAGTGGAAGGAGACCCTCATCGTTACACAAAATACATGTATGAAGATGTGAGGGAAAAAAAAAAGAATAGTGTCACCTTAGATTGGGTAGAGAGAAGTGATGGGAGGGGAGGAGAGGGGATGGAGGGAAAGGAAGGATAGAAGAATGAAATAGACATTCCTGTGTGTAGATACATGACTGCATGACCAATGTGATTCTGCAACCTGTACACTCAGAAAAATGAGAAATTATATCCCATCTGATTCAAATATATGATATGTCAAGGTCATTTACTGTCATGTGTAACTGATTAAAACAAATAAAAAATTTAAAAAAAACAACTAAATGTGGATAACAGATTGAATGGTAATACAACTAATTATAACTGCAAATATAACCATATTTGTAAAAATTACTATAGCTAAAACTACAAAACTCTCAGAAGAAAGTACAGGAATAAGTCTTTTTGCATTTGGGTTAAGCAAAGACTTCATCTATGATACTACAAGCATGTGTAGCAAAAGAAAAAGAAAAATTGGACTACATCAAAATTCTCTATTTTTTGAACTGCAAGTGACACCACCAAGAAAGTGAAAATAGAATCCACATAATGGGAGAAATCACAAATTATGTACGTAATAAAGGGACTGTATCCAGAATATATTAAAATTAAGAAAAAGACAACTTGCCCAATTGAAAAATGGGAAGAGGATCCAAATAGATGTTCATTAAAGATAAACAAATGGCCAATATACAATGAAAATACATTCAACATCATCAGCCATCAGGGATAGACAAAGAAAAAACACAAAGCAATACAATTATATACCCACAAGAATGGCTACAATCAAAACAATGAATAATCACAAATGTTGACAAGAACATGGAGAAATTGAAATCTCATACCCTGCTAATGGAAATGTAAAATGGTGTGTGTGTGTGTGTGAGTGTATGTGTGTAAATATATATGGAAAAAATGAAAACATGCACACAAAAGCTTGTATATAATAACATCCATAGTAGCATTATTCATAATGCTGAATGATGGAAATAACTCAAATGTCCATCAGCTAATGAATGAATAATACAATGTGATTTTTCCATACAATGGGAAATTATTAAGCAATCCAAAGAGATGAAGTACCAATACGTGTTACAACATGGAAACACTGTGTTAAGGCCAAAAAAGCCAGTCACAAGACAATGATTCTACTGATGAAATGCCCAGGATAGGCAAAGCAACAGAGACAGAAAGGGTTAGGAACTTCCATGACTGGGGAGGGGTCTTGGGGAAATGGAGAGTGACTGCTAATAGGCAAAGGGTTTCTCTTAGGGGAGACAAAACCATTGCAAAACTAGATCTCATAATCTAGTGGCTGTAGAATCCTATGAATACACTAAAAGCATCAAATTGTGTACTCCAAAAGTGCAAACTGTAACACGTGAACTCTATCTCAACAAGGCTTTTAACAAAAAACATACATCATCCAAATGTAATTTGTAGGCCTTGTGAGGATCCTGTTAATAAAGTATAAAGTGGTGTTTTTGAGACAATGGGAGAAATGTTAACTTAGACTAGGTATTAGATGATGTTAAGGAATTATCACTAATTTCACTAAATGTTAAGATGGATCTATGGTGTGTGTTTAATTTTAAAAAGTTTATATTTTTAAAATCATTAAAAATTATTGTTCATTGTTAGAGAAAGACTGAAGTACCTACAGAATAAATAATAGAATGACTGGGTTTGCTTTAAAATACTCAAGCAATAAACAAACAAATAAATAGGAATGGTCAGATTCCATGAATACTTGACTAAGGATTGTTGTCTGGTCAATCTGCAAAGGACTTCTGTCAGCAAAAGTGAGATTTCCTATGGATTCATGGATGTTGTCTGAGCACCAGTAGAGTGAGTACTCTGGCCTCATCCAAAGACCCCAAGCCATTCAGCAGGAGGGATCTAAGATACAGCTCATCAGCAACATTAACTGTTAGGACTATCATTAAGCAACTTTGTGGATAAAAGTGAGAGAGAACAGGAAGCACCAAAAAGAGGAGTCACAGAGAGGTACAGACTTGACTTAGGCCACAGGACTGCAGCAACAGCCTCTGAGCTCCCAGAGGGAGCCCACGTGAACACAGCTGCCATCAGGCTCCCCCAGGGAGCATGCTCCTCAGGATAATTGGGGTCATCATGAGCCGACTACTGTGGTAAGCCTCTGGTCAGTAGCTCACATGCCATCCACAGAGAGCCCTGCCTGAGGGTGACAAAAAGGCCTCCATGTCAAGCACCCTCAGAACAATGTTATCAGAATGCTGTGTGGTGGTGTCCAGTGGCCTGGCTAGGGGAGACAAGCCTGGACATCTATGGCAAGAAATTCTGTGCTGCAACAATCCCCCCCACCATTCAAACTGCACAGCTGGCCCACCTGAGTTGGCTCCCTTCCTATTTTGTAGCAGGTACCAAGAACAACCTCAAAGGGGCACTGGAGACCCCTTGTATCTCTGGAGTTGACTTTGGATGAGTTTAAAAAAAAATGAGATATGTCTGTTTAGTTCTTTCGTCCATTTTGTGA